GGGGGACGGGACAGGCATGGCTAACAAATCCGGCGTGGTCTATTCCCACGCCTCCAAGGACAGCAGCCGTCGACACTCTCACATCACAATTTTGTCATTTTGTGGGGTTTCGTTTTTGGGAAATGTCGTGGACGTTCAATGAGGTTTGTCGGGGTCTTTTTGGGTTTTAGGGAAAAGTGCAAAGGGTGCGGTCGCGGCTAGGAGACGGACCCGTGGTGCGAGTGGTTGTGGTAGGCTTTGGGTATTGTACATCTAGTGGTCGTTTCATTCGGTCGTTCGGGTTTGTTGTGGACGGCGACCCGGTTTCCTTTTTGGGTGATGAGAAATGGTTTGGGGACGGGCGAAAAATGGGCAGCGGGGGGTCATGAAAGTCGTGACGACTCAATCCTTTTCCAGTTCCCGGTTCGCTTTGTTGGTTTGGGTGCAAAGCAAAATGGAGAGCGGGGGGTCATCAAAAAATAAATCGAAAAAAAATCGAATCGAATCGATTGACGGTCGGGCATCAAAAAATTTCTTTATTTTTATTGGACTCATCCTAATGCACCTGGTCGAAATACCGTCTACATGCATGTAGTATATTGTGTACTGAGGGAGCTGCCTGGCATGGTCATCCCCGCAGCCCCCGAGGCTACAATCTCCTACCCCCTGGCTGCGCCCCCGCACCCCGCGCGGTCACAGTCAATATAGTGAACATGACTAAAACACTATATAATCATGACCTTACTCTTCCCCAACCACGTCAACAGACAAACTTCTGGCTGCGCACCCGTGCCTTCACGGGAAGTTAATTTGGCTGTGCACCCATGCCTTCACGGGAAGTCAATGTGGCCAAAGCCAGGCCTCTATTTCACCGGAAATAGAGAGCTTGACAAGTCTCTATTCACTCTCTATTTTTGAGACAAATCGAGAGTCGTGGAGCGGGGCCCATTTTGGGGCCTTCGAGATCCGAAGGAATTCCCGGACAGGTCCAAACCAAGGGCCTGTTTGGCAAGGAGCGGACGAGGTGGGTAGGGCCCATTTTGGGGCCTTCGAGAACCGAAGGAATTCCCCCGACAGGTCCAAACGGAGCGCCCTGTCTCCCAAGAAGCAGACGAGGTGGGTCGGACGAGGTGGCGAAATACACGGTAAGTCACGCAAGCATTTTCCAGGATGTACATGACTCCGAAGTCGTCTGCGTTCAGTCCAAGAGGTTCTATTGTGTGGGCCCTTGGGATCAAAATCGAGTGGGGCGCGGAGGAAGAGGACGTGGCGGAGGGCGCAAATGCTTCACGAGGCGAAGGGCCAGATCCCACTAGCCCCTATTGTTCAGTTTTGACCCTCGATTACGAAGATCAACGGTCAGAAATGAATAATAGGGGCTAGTGGGATCTGGCCCGAAGGCGCTAGTGGGATCTGGCCCGAAGGCTCAAGCTCGAGCTCAGTAGCTCGAGGTCAACGAGTCCCGTCCTGGTCCCGAGTTGGCTCGATTTCGGGAACTAGAGGTCCAGATGCCAAAAAGCGTTGCCGTGCAAAGAAATCACTTGGCCCACCAAGGAGTCAGCGGCGGGAACATGGGATGGGAATGAGAACAAGGCGGGGGGTGGTTGGGATCGCCTGTCCCGGGAGACACCAATAGACCACGGACAGAGGGAGGGAGGGAGGGAGAGGGGGAGGCGGGGAAAGTAGCATAGCATGTGAGAAGGTCCAGTCGACGGTCCTGGAACGTGAGGTCCAGTCAAAGTAGAGCAGGTCTGGTCTGGTCTGGTCAGGTCAGGTCAGGTATGCGGCCAGTCACTCTTCGTCTTGTCTTCCGCTCTGCCACTCACTTACCTCGGACGGAGAAACGCAGCCGTAGATGGAAGAGCAGGCAATCGACGATAGGTTTGTCGTGTTGCTGCTGGTTGTCTGAATCTGGCCTGTGGGAACGGGTTCCCGGTCTCCGTAAAGCGACCGGTGCGCGCTCTCGATCAATCAATCAATCATCAGCTCCTCTCCATAGCCAGCCTGTGAGCAAGGCATTGTTTGCTCTATGTTCAAACCAGTGTGTGTGTGTGTGTGTGTGTGAGAGAGAGAGAGAGAGAGAGAGAGAGAGAGAGCCATGAAACGCTATAAGTGACGTCATCGTTGTCTTGTGTCCATGCCTGAATCGATCCCACGGTCGGGGCACCATTCATTAGCGACGTCATCTACATCTTCTACTCTTCGCCCTCGACGTCAAACGTCAGAACTCCACGCACGTGTGTGTAAAGGGATAGTTGCCCGCTGAACATACATACATTTTCGAACACAGCCGCTGTGATCGAGCGATCCACACACACACACACACACACACACACACACAGAGAGAGAGAGAGAGAGAGAGAGAGAGAGAGAGAGAGAGAGAGAGAGAGAGAGAGAGAAGAAGAAGAAGAAGAAGAAGAAGTGGGTAGGTAGATGCAAAATAAAATTGTTGATAACAAAGTACGGAAGAAAGGTATTCAACGGGGTTGTCTTTCTGTGTTTGTTTCTCTCATCCTTTTTTCGTCATACGCCCAGCGCGTCCATCAGCGCGTTCCTTCGCGCGGCCGTCTCCCGCACGCGGTTCATCACTCCCGAGTTGTAATGATTGTTTTTTCATCGTTTGTCTTTTCTTTTCTTCGCTTGTGTATATCTGAAGTTGCTCGATCGAATCGATCAACAGAATCCTCGCCTGATTGATTTTTCTTCCTTTTGTTTTTGCTTGTCTCTAGCCTTCTTCTCGGACTTGTGCGCAATCAGATGCACTCATCGGGAGCTACCGAGAGATAGGTAGGTAGATAGATAGATGCAGAAGAAGAAGAAGGTCGCAGGAGTTGCGCAGTCCTAGGGAGGTTCACGCTCTGTTCTAATACCAGATTACTAGATTACGTAATCGAAGTACTAGATTACGTAATCGAAGTACTAGTTTACGTGATCGAAATACTAGAACAGCCTGTGAGAGAGGCGCCTCTTCCGTCATCCAGTCCGTTCGGTGTCACGCTTAGCCCTTGCTTGGCTGACGTGGCAGTGTGGAATTGTAGGCTGTAGCTAGTCTGACTAGCCGAGTGAGGGAAGCTCTGTTGTCGCGCTAGCTGGTGAGGTGGCGCGAAGCTACGCGGAGCGGCGGCGACTTCATTTCAATCACGTGGTAGGGGGGGGGG